TTGATAGTTCATAGTCTTGTGTCATAAAATGTGACACAAATTGTAAAGAATCAAATGTTCAGCCACTCCAGCTCCTCTATCTCCCCACGAAAAGTCCTCTTCTTGATGCCGTGGTCGAAGCAGATCTTATCATCTTTCTTAATGTCCGTGATGGCCTGAAAGAGCAGGACGTGCCTGTCTCCCCCCTGAAGCTTCACTATGCAGTGGCATGGCTGCACGTTGCACTTCTTCTTTGAATGTGTAATCGATCTCCCGATGGTTTCCAGAGACGGGTGGCACTCACAGGGGAAAGTCTCCGCATCGATGCAGATTTCGTCAGGGCCATGTTTGAAGAAAAACAGGTTTCCCAGCTGGTCCTGCGTCTCTGCCATCTCCCTGCCCTCAGCACCTGTGATCACCTTTCCGTGGAAATCACACAGGATGGAGCCCTTCCCGAAGGCCTTGGTTGCAACAACGCCTGTGGTCAAAAAGAGGGAGTCATTAATGTGCTGTTCAGTTATTATATTCATTTTATTTATGGATTTTACTGTGCTCATAAGACAGTTGTACATACCTTTCTGCTCCCCAAAGGCCTTCACAACCAGACCCGACCATTTCTGCCTGGTCACCCTCTTGATGATGCCCGGGTCACTCTCCGCCTGTGCTCTGCTGAGCGGCCTCCACTTCGCCATGATGTCCTCTGGACGAGGATGATTGGCTGTCCAGCCCTCTGCATCTATGACTTTAGCCACCATCGCTGCAGTTGGGGTACGTCTTGAGAATTTTGCTGTCAAAGAGAGCACATTTGAATTAAAATTCAGGTTCACACACTAGTTCAAAATGTTTCTGTTGGAGCAAATCTAATCATTGGATCATAAGGAAGTATATACATCTACACAAAAGATGTTGCTCCCGAAGGCTGTACTGCAGAGCCCTCCACTTATCATAAAAGACTCTGTCGGCGGGGAACCCAGCTTTTTCTCTCTGGGTCTTGTTGGGTGGTTTGCCAGTGATTCCCACAGGGAATGCCTGCTGGAAAGCATTAAAGTCCGGGGCTGGGCTGCCAACCTCTTCTTTCACCCGCCTTCTCTTCACTGCCTGGGTGCCCTCGTCACCAGAAGAGGAGCTGCAATATTGAAAAGGTCTGGAGGTTACACACTAAAAAACTGATGGATGAGCGTTGAGAGACATTATAATTATAACAGATTTATAACATAATTATATTACAGATAATTACATACCGTGTCAGGGAGCTGACAACGGCTGCTTCAGAGCTGCCACCGGCTGCTCCAGAAGGTTCACCCGCCATGCTGGTGGACGCCTGTTCTGAGTCCAAGTCTGCCTGTTCAGGAGCATTAGCCACAAAAAAGTCTCTTTGGCAAAGCTCTTCAAGAAGAGCCAGTCTGGATGGTCTGTAGGGGTAACGTTTCACCATCTCCTTGTAGTCCCAGTTCCTGGCTTGCCGTGTCCACGCCTTGGCAGACTCCTTTGCCCTATTTGTTTCCTCCATCCATTCTTCGGGTGTGTTCTTTTTCATACACACTCTGCTCAGATGCGTCGACAGCATCTCCTGTGGTTTCCCACACAGCAAGCAGTGAATGATGCGACGGTCGGATTTCTGTCTGTGAGACAAAGCAGACACACCAAAACTTACAAATCAAATGAATGAAGACAGTGAATTCTTAAAACAGAGGCCTAATGTGACCCTTGACCAGCAAAACTTAAAAAAGAGATAAAAACTTAAACCTTAAACTCTTACGTATGCAGCAGAACAGGGCATTGTCCTATTACCATTGAAATGGAGCTTAACAGAAAATACACAGCAAAAACTCCAGTGTTAAATTAACTCTCCTGGGAGTTTATATGACTCCACACTCAAGAGTGTTAAATTAACTCTGAAGCAGTGTTAAAGTTAATGAGATAATTAAGTGATTAATTGAGCAATGATTGACCAACATTGAAGACACCTGATGTTAACAAGTAGAATCACTGAAAGTGAAAAATCAAAATTATAAGTCACCATTATGGAGATCAGTGTTTGCTTCAGTGGGGCAGTCTGTCAACCCTTACATTTTATACTTTAGATATTGTTTTTGTCACAAAAGTCTGATGGGGCTGATCCACTGAGGGGCTGGAATGAAAGTTTTCATGACATCTTTTTGTGACGTGTTCTGCACGTCCGATATAGACATTAATGGATCCTTCGTACAAGGTTAAAAACAAGTTCAACATGTTTTCAACATAACTCATGGTCTTATTTAGACAATTTAAACTGTTTCTCGACCGAAGAAACACTCTCAGGATGCATTAAATTTACAATTTGAAATAAATTAGTTTATTTACATTGTTTAGATGTGGTTTAGATGGTGATATTTGTTTCATTTTAAGTCACCATTGTGGTGATGAGTGTTTGCTTTAGTTGGGCTCTTGGTCCCAATTCTTCTTACTTTAGCTTTTCTTTGGCTGTTGTAACTGTTTGCATAACACCATTGATTGTGCAGAGAAAGCCAAGAAAATTAAAAATTAGATGTCTTCAGATGCTTGCTGATGATGACAAAATCATCTAAACTTATGTTTTTATATCTGAAATTTATAATTATTCATCTCGTAGAACTGCATTATTTGGACCAGTAACTTTATAATGACCACTGCGTACAATATGTTTTAAGAAATTGAAACACATAGTCACACACAGATATCAAGATTTTGCATATGATTCTCAACGACGGTGACAACCAAAACAAAAAAGCCTGGGAATCGAGGATGTTTTGTACTATGAAAGCTACCCATCATGCATTGCGGCATGAAGCATTTTTTTTATTTATTGTCACCATTTTTGTGAATCATATGCAAAATCTTGATGTCTGTGTGTGACTAGATGGAACATTTTCTCAAAACATTGTGTAAATTTGCTTTTTGTCCAACTACTAGGCCAAATAATGCAGTTCCACAAGATTGGTGGTTATAAACTCCAGATACAAACACAAAAGTCTAAACACAACGTTAAATGCCCACTTTATATTGATTTTATCATCATCATCATCATCGTCAACACCGGACAAGGAGCTGATGAGAGCCAATTTTCGTGGCTTTCTCTGTCACAACAATGGTGTTATTCAAACACACAGTTACAACAGCCAAAGAAAAGCTAGAATACTAATTATTGGGACCAAGAGCCCAACTAAAGCAAACACTGATCACCACAATGGTGACTCAAAATGAAATAAATATCACCATCTAAACAATGTAAGGAAAAAAAATAAACATAAGTTTTAATTTAATGCATCCTGAGAGTGTTTATTTGGTCCAGAAACAGTATAAACCAGTATAGAGCATAAATAATGTTGAGAATGGCCACATTTGAAATAGTTTTTAACCTTGCACGAAGGATCCATTAACGTCTTTTTCAGATGTCCAGAACATGTCAAAAAAGACGTCATAAAAACTTTCATTCTGGCCCCTTAGTGGAAGTCTTTTCAAACTCTGCCTTTTGTGACAAAGACATTGAAAAACATCTTTTGGACATCATTTTGCTTAGTGAGTTATGTCAAACTATAATCAACACCACCTGATCACCTTTTCTCTAAGCAAATAATGATCACCATTATGGTGACTTCGAAAATGAGATTTTTCTTCTTCAGCGATTCTGCCTGTGATCATCAGGTGTCTTCAATGATGGTCAATTATCACTAAATTAATCACTTAATTAGCTCATTAACTTTAACACTCTTGAGTGTTAATTTAACACTCATTTTTTAACACTTTAACACTCTTGAGTCTGGAGTCAAATAAACTCCCAGGAGAGTTAATTTAACACTGGAGTTTTTGCTGTGTACACAAAAACACAAACATTACCTCTTCTCAGCTTGTCCTTCCATTTCAGCAAAATCCGATTCAGATTGTCTCAGCAGATCAGCAGAGTAGATAAAATCCAAGTGTTCTCAGCAGATCAGCAGAGTAGATAGAATCCAGATGTCTTTAGCAGAATCCAGGAGTCCTCAGCAGATCAGCACAGTAGAATCATTTGAAGAAAAGTGATTTCTCTAGCAGAATGCTTCCCAGATAAACCTCCTGAGTGTCTCAAACCAGCCAATCAGATCGCAGTATTATACAATGGGTGTCTGCCTCTGCGCAGACCTGATAATGGGCCATCATGAGATAGCTGAGCCATCAGTGAGCCATCAGTGAGCCATCAATGAGCCATCAGTTTTACTGCCTGAGCTTGTGAAATGAAACTGGTTAGTTCTAATGGTTTTTAAATGGGCAATCATATTTACTGCCAGGGATACTTAAGTGTTTGTTGGCTTAAGAGATGGAATTAATTTAAGTCCTGAGGGAAATAATCTTTCTCAACTCTTAATCTTTCCGAACTCACTGATTAATTTGATGCTAAAAGCAGAAAGAAAGCTTGAGATTTGAGTTAAATAAAGACGTTTTAGCACAGCAGAAACAGTAACGACAAAGGCCTGGGGTGAGTTCAGCGGTGACAGCCGCAACTTTAGTCTGTATTATCAACTCCCTGAACAAGATACAGATAATTCAATGCAAACACATTAAAGTGCAGGTCTCAAGCTTTCAATAGATGTGCAAAACTTGTCTGTAGCATAAACAATGACTGAGATGCGTTCATTTTAATAAAATAATCCAAGTTTAAAACTGGTAAAGTGCTCCCAGATTTTCACCACGGCAAAGAGGTCAGCTAACCTGATGACCTCTCATTCCCTCTATGAACATGGTAAAGCCAAATAAGTGTTGGGGTATGAAAGCACACATACCCCTAGATTGGTTTTATATTAAATAATAATATCAGGCTGTTTCATGTTTTTCCCAGCCTGAGAGAGCAGGGGTCACACAGGCCTCGAATTAGGCCTCTGAGCTTTACAGTGACTGCACTAAAAATGGCTGTACGAATTTGTTACTGCTTATTGCTGGTCAGAGAGGGGAAAAGATTATTTCCCTCAGGACTTAAATTAATTCCATCTCTTAAGCCAACAAACACTTAAGTATTCCTGTCAGTAAATATGATTGCCCATTTAAAAACCATTAGAACTAACCAGTTTGCTGATCTGCTGAGACAATCTGAATTGGATTTTGCTGAAATGGAAGGACAAGCTGAGAAGAGGTAATGTTTGTGTTTTTGTGTATTTTCTGTTGAGCTCCATTTCAATGGTAATAGGACAATGCCCTGTTTTGCTGCATATTTAAGAGTATTTTATTTCTTTTTTTTACTTATGTCTCATTCTTTCAGATCATTGTTTTCAATAACTGATTCTATATCATGTAATTTTGTTTTTAAGGTCCGCTGATCGTACCGTTGTGCACTGCTTGCAGTGCCACAAACCCCAGGAAAACCTTGCTGCTCACCTGTCCAGAGTCTGCATGAAGAAACGCACGCCCGAGGAGAGAGCGGCCAAAGGTTCAGAAAGCCAAGGCTTCGAGCAGAGAGTGGGTTCAGATGAACAGGACCTGGGACTACAACCAGATTGTGCAGACTGTGCGCTCCTGCCTGATCACCGCTCTCGGGTCATCATGGTCAAGGAGTTTCTTCAGCGTGGTTTTTTTTATCACGAACCAGCCCCGCGAGTCTGACTGTGATGAAGATGATGCTTCTGCTCCTTCATCTGATCTTCCTCAAACGCAAGGGCAATCCTTAAACGTTTTAAATGTAAATTCTTTTCTCACTTTATGTTATTGATAACTTTAATAGTCTTGTCTGTTATGTTTAATCCAAACAGCCGGTTGGTTCAGACGGCTCCTGGCATTAAACACTGCCAGAAGATCGTGAGAGTGGCGAAGCCGGACGTGCTCAGGATCCAGAGGGACCTGCAGGCGGGCAGAGAGCTCTCCAACACGGACCAGACGCTCTACCGCTACTACTGCGAGGCGCTCTTGGTGTTTGTCCACATGCAGGGTCCCAGAGCTGTGGAAGCCTTGACGGTGAGTTCATCTACTCTAACCAGTTTACACTTCGGATGTGCTTTAATATTGGCACACTTGTGCATTTGTAAATAACGCCTTTTCAATATTTTCCAGGATGCCGAGTGGGTGAACAAGACCAAGCTGGGTGACAGATTTGTGATCGGCGTACAGAGGGAGAAAACCTTGAGTATGCAGATCGCTCTGACCCAAGAGGAGGAAGCTGTAAGTTCCCTTTCGTAGTCACTTCGAGTTACGTCAGAAGTGACGGAGATTGGGGGTTTCGCATAGAAAGCCAATCCTCTTCGAGTATTTAAACACGAGCCAATGGCATGCAATGCCTTGGGGCTGCGGAAATTTGCATAGCGTACTCCGCCCTACTCCGTGAGTATAAAAGGAGGAAGTGAACGCAACCGCAGTATGTTTTTCGCTTCGGAGCCAAGAGAACCTCTTCACTCCTGAAAGCTATTACAAGACTCTTCGAGACGAGCGTCCTCTTCAGTGTTGGTGTGACGGCGGTACCCAGCGAGTTTCTGCATTGCCTGTGATCTGTGCAGTGGTCTGCCAGACTTTGCGCTTCTCCCTGGTCGCCTCAGCGCTGAAAGAGTGAATTTCCTCCTCTCTGTAAAAGAGCTACACGCGGCACGTCTTTTTAAAGACGGTTCGCCCGTGTTCTTCTGGATGCGGTCGATTTCTGTCGTCATCTGATGGTCGCGATCGCTGCTCTGTATGCCTGGGCATTCAGCATGCAGCAGCAGCGTTCGTGGATGACTCATGTTCCTGCTATGGGGACATGACCATCTCCACACTGAGGTTAAAAAAAAAAAAAAAAGATATATATATATATATATAAAAAAATTATATTTTATATATAGAATATATATTTTTATATATATAAAAAAAAAAAAAAAAATCTCACTAGAGTGAGAGCCCCGGTCCCCCTTACTCGATCGGCTTCCTTCACGAAAGGGGGCCCGTCGACCGGGGACCCGGCGAATTAACGGTGACGGTGTGGCATAAGCCCCGATGATTTCTCGGGCCACACCTCCCGCCTCAGTGCGTGAGCCAGCGAGCGTTAGTTCGATTCAGTCGGCTGCCTCTTCAGTGGTACCGGCTGCTTCGAGCAGCGCTCCAGATGATGATGTGATGTCGATCGCAGCATCACTAGGTGGGCTACAGTCCTCGGGAGATGAGGATGCGGCTGCGCTGCCCCCTTCGGGAGAGCCAGCGCTGCCCGTGTCGGATCCCGAGCTGACGGCATGCTGTCTCAAGCCGCTGGGAGTATTGGGTTAGAGTGGCATCCTCCATTCTCCCCCGATCTCTCACGGAGGGATAATTGGTTTTTGGACAAAGCTGCCGCCGCGAGGCCACGGCCAACTCCATTGCCTTTTTTTCCCCGAGCTGCATGCGGAGTTTTCGCGCTCTTGGGGGACTCCTCTGTCCACTCGAGACCGCGATCTCTCCCCCGCCTTTCCCCCCTCGATGGGGGGGCCGCCCGTGGGTGCACTGGGATGCCCCCGCTGGAGCGTTCTGTTGCGATACAGCTGTGTCCACAGGGCGCCTCCTCCGTGGTCCTCCTAGGCACCCATCCAAAGCCTGTAGGTTCTCGTCTGCCATGGCGGCGCGTTCCTATAGAGCGGCGGGACGGGCGGCCTCCGCTTTGCATGCGATGAGCACTGTGCAAGCGCAGATGCTCAGAGATATGCTCGAGGGCGGGACTGATCCAACGGCATTCGAAGATTTGCGGTCCGCCACTGACCTTGCTCTCCAAAAGGGCAACGAAAGTGGCCGCTCGCGCCGTTGGTCAGGTGATGGCCACTAGTGTGGTCCAGGAGCGTCAACCTGGCAGACACTCGGAGCGCTGAGCGGATTCGTCTGCTCGACGCCCTTCTCTCCCAGGTTGGCCTTTTTTGGCGGTGCAGTCGAGAACTCTTGCCCAGCAGTCTCCACTGCCCAGGAGCAGACGGAGGCAATCAAACATGTTCTGCCCCGACGACCAGCTGCTGCCTCCACCCAGTCGTCGGCACAGATGCCTCCCGCTGCTCGCCGCCGAGGACGCCCCCCGCGGCTCCCCTGCCTCCCGCCCCGCCCCAGCAGCAGCCTTCATCCGGGCCACGGCGTGGAGGAGGCCGCCGGCAGGCGTCACAGCCCCCTCAGGCCGCACACCCCGCTAAACGCCAGGTAAGCGATGATCCTGATACGGGCTGCTCAGTGATGGAGTTGAGTTTTTCCCCAGGAGGCGGGAGCAGGCCCCCTCCTGCCCCCGGTGGAGGGCCGGGGGGAAAATCTTTCGTTTTCAGTTCCCGCTGCTCGCCCACGGGTGGGCAGCGCCCTGAGTTGGTTAAGAAAGACTTGACATCATCACTGAGCCCACAGACTGGAATGAGTGCGCTCGACGTTCCAGTGCGTCAGCCCACACATTCCTCTCTGTCTCTGAGGGTGCGGAAGGGTGCGAGTGTCGTCCCCGGGCTACGCCAATCCCTTCCCCCTCTGTCGCCAGACCCCCGGCGGAACGGACCCCCGTGGAACGCTCCGCTTTCCCTGGTCCCTTCCGTCGGGGAGCGGGCTTCGACGCATCCGAGCGGGGTCATCCCTGCACGCGTGCCAGTCGACCCGCCACGCTGCCCCTCCGGGGACGTCTGTGGTTCACATGACCCCGTTGGCTCACTTCCTGGAAGCCTGGCTAGTGCTTCCCGGGATATCCCGCTGGGTCATCAGAACGATCAGATTCGGCTACGCGATTCAGTTCGCACGGTCTCCTCCCCGCTTCAGGGGAGTTCGCTCCACGATAGTTGGTGGCAATGCCCCACTCCTGAGAGCGGAGATTGCGACCCTGCTGGCGAAGGGTGCAATCGAGACGGTCCCTCCAGCCGAGGTGGAGTCCGGGTTTTACAGCCCCTACTTCATTGTCCCCAAGAAGACCGGTGGGTTACGACCGATCCTGGACCTGCGCATTTTGAACCGTTCTCTCCATCGACTACCGTTCAAAATGCTCACGGCCAAACGCATTTTCGAATGTGTTCGGTATCAGGATTGGTTTGCAGCGATCGACCTGAAGGACGCGTACTTCCATGTGTCCATCTTACCTCGACACAGACCGTTTCTTCGGTTTGCCTTCGAGGGCCAGGCATATCAGTACGCCGTTCTCCCATTCGGGTTAGCTCTGTCCCCTCGCGTCTTCACGAAGATCGTCGAGGCAGCCCTTGTTCCCCTTCGCGAACACGGGGTTCGCATCCTGAATTATCTCGACGACTGGCTGATACTAGCACACTCTCGAGCTCAGCTTTGCGAACACAGAGACTTGGTGCTCCGGCACCTAGCCCGTTTGGGCCTTCGGGTCAACCGGGAAAGAGCAAACTTTGCCCCGTGCAGAGGATCTCTTTTCTCGGCATGGAGATAGACTCGGTCGCCATGTCCGCGCAGCTCACGAACGAGCGTGCGCACTCACTGCTGACTTGTCTTCGACAGTTCGAGGGCAAGAGTGCGGTTCCACTGAAACTATTTCAGAGGCTCCTGGGGCATATGGCATCCGCGGCCGCGGCAACGCCGCTCGGTTTGCTTCATATGAGACCGCTTCAGCTGTGGCTTCGCGATCGAGTCCCGAGGTGGGCATGGCATCGCGGCTCGCTCCGAGTTCCAGTGACTCCAGCGTGCCGCCGAACCTTCTTCCCGTGGTCGAACCTCAGCTTCTTACGGACCGGCGTCCCTATTCAGCGAGTTTCCAGGCATCTCGTTGTCTCCACGGATGCATCTACCACGGGTTGGGGTGCCATGTGCAATGGGCATGCAGCCGCCGGTTCCTGGACAGGAGCCCAGCGCCTCATGCACATCAATTGCCTCGAGCTGTTGGCAGTACGGCTCGCCCTACACCGCTTCCGAGCGTTGCTCAAGGGCCAGCATGTGCTTGTCCGCTCAGACAACACTACGGCAGTAGCGTACATCAACCACCAGGGGGGTCTACGCTCACGCCAGTTGTCGCAGCTCGCCCGCCACCTCTTGATATGGAGTCAGAAGCACCTGAGGTCCCTTCGTGCAGTTTACATTCCTGGAGACCGGAACTGGGCAGCCGACGAGCTGTCCCGGGTCCGCCCCATCTCCGGCGAATGGCGACTCCATCCCCAGTCGGTCCAGCTGATTTGGGACGAGTTCGGGGAGGCACAGATAGACCTGTTCGCCTCTCGGGACTCGTCCCACTGCGCCCAGTTTTATTCTCTGACCCGCGGCACTCTCGGCTCGGATGCGCTGGCGCACAGCTGGCCACGGGGCCCACGCAAGTATGCGTTTCCCCCAGTGAGCCTCCTTGCACGGGTGTTGTGCAAGATCAAGGAGGACGAGGAGCAGGTCTTGCTGGTAGCCCCCTACTGGCCCACCAAGACGTGGTTCTCCGATCTCTTGCTCCTCGCGACAGCACCTCCTTGGCCTATTCCTCTGAGACAAGACCTACTCTCTCAGAGACGGGGCACTCTGTGGCACCCTCGTCCCGATCTTTGGAGGCTGCACGTGTGGCTCCTGGACGGCACGAGGCAGGTTTGAGTTCGCTGCCACCTGCGGTGGCGGCAACCATCACTTCCGCAAGAGCGTCGTCCACGAGACACCTTTATGCGTTGAAGTGGAACCTCTTCGTCAATTGGTGCTCTTCTCGCGGAGAAGACCCCCGGAGATGTTCGATCAGTGTCGTGCTTTCCTTCCTGCAAGAAGGGTTGGAGCGCAGGCTGTCGCCCTCCACCCTTAAGGTTTACGTCGCGGCCATTGCCGCTTCTCATGAAGCAGTGGAAGGTAAGTCCTTAGGGAAGCACGACCTGGTCATCAGGTTCCTGAGGGGAGCGAGGAGGCTGCATCCGCCTCGTCCTCCCCTCGTACCCTCTTGGGACCTCTCGGTAGTTTTAAGTGCTCTGCAGAGGCATCCCTTTGAGCCTTTGCAATCGGTAGAGTTAAAGTTTCTGTCCATGAAGACAGCACTCCTGGTTGCATTGGCCTCCATCAAGAGGGTGGGGGACCTGCACGCATTCTCCGTTGACGAAGCGTGCCTGGAGTTCGGGCCGGCTTACTCTCACGTGATCCTGAGACCCCGGCCTGGATATGTGCCCAAGGTTCCCACCACTCCCTTCCGGGACCAGGTGGTGAACCTGCAAGCGCTGCCCCCGGAGGAGGCAGACCCAGCCTTGGCACTGCTCTGTCCGGTACGTGCTCTCCGCACCTATGTCGACAGAACGCAGTGTTTCAGGACCTCAGACCAGCTCTTTGTCTGTCATGGAGGGAGCCAGAAGGGAAGGGCTCTCTCAAAGCAACGGCTGTCCCACTGGATTGTGGATGCCATTGCTTTGTCTTACCAGCAGCAAGGCCTTCCGTGCCCCCTTGGTGTGACGGCCCATTCCACTCGGAGTGTGGCCTCCTCTTGGGCTTTAGCGCACGGCGCCTCGCTAACAGACATCTGCAGAGCTGCAGGCTGGGCGACACCCAACACCTTCGCCAGATTCTATAATCTGCGAATTGAGCCGGTATCCTCTCACGTACTCGTTTCGGCCAGTTCTGGATCCGCTCAGGTGTCTTCGCTTGCTCGCCACTCCACTCCCCGGACTGGATAAGTGCGATATTTCCTCAGTTCTTCCATTGAAGCCTTGAGTCCTCCAGCACCGACGATGCGGGCACCACTGCTGTGGCTCTGGATGCTGGCTAGGTGCCTCCATGCGTACGGTTCCCCCTTGGTAACCGTCTCATGTGTATTATCCACTGTAAGCCTCTCTGAGCATGTGTCTTCCCTTGGCAAGCCATCTGCCACCCTGGAGCTGAAATTAGTAGCCACCTGCGGTTGGTGCTCCAGTGATTCCATATGTGTTCCTATGTGGCCATATGTGTATTCGTAAGTCCTCCCTTCGGTAGGCAGCTGGTAGCATGTCCCCTTCGGGATATGTTTCCCAGTGTACCTTGGTAATCCTGTGTCTAAGTCGGATCCCCTAAGGAAAACAGGTAAGGCTCGGGGGTTCAGACTTTCGCAGGGCACTGGAAGACAGCCTGAAGTTGGCGTGATGGCACAGACCCCCAATCTCCGTCACTTCTGACGTAACTCGAAGTGACTACGAAAGGGAACGTCTCGGTTACGTATGTAACCCTCGTTCCCTGAGTAGGGAACGGAGACGTTACGTCTCCCTGCCACTTCTGCTGTATCGCTGGGTAGATGCCGAGTTCAGTCTTGGCTCCTCAGCGAAGACATACTGCGGTTGCGTTCACTTCCTCCTTTTATACTCACGGAGTAGGGCGGAGTACGCTATGCAAATTTCCGCAGCCCCAAGGCATTGCATGCCATTGGCTCGTGTTTAAATACTCGAAGAGGATTGGCTTTCTATGCGAAACCCCCAATCTCCGTCACTTCTGACGTAACGTCTCCGTTCCCTACTCAGGGAACGAGGGTTACATACGTAACCGAGACGTTTTACTGTACAAACTGTTGATTTCTCACCACCATTGTTTTAAATGGAATAACTCATCTGTCTTTTTTACGTAGTGCTTGGAGCTGTACTTCAGGCGCATCAGGCCTGAGAACATTCAGCCGGAGAAACTCTGCAATAGTTTCTTTGTTTCGTCATCCGGCGTGGAGGTTGTGTCTCTCGGGACATGAATCGGCTCCATATATTGTAAGTGCCTTACACGGGTCCATGTGTGTGTGTGTGTGTGTGAACGGATACACTTCTTTGTATCTTGCCTCATCACAGTCACATAACAATTAATATTCCCTTTTTGTTTCTGCAGGTACAAGCTGGCTCCTTTCTCTGCCCAGTGTGTGCGGAGGGCTGTTGAGGAGGCTGCAGAAAAGCTCCCGGCGCAGCAACAGGAGGCGCTGCACCATTACCTGGCCATCAGCACTGGTGCGGTCCGGCCGCAGGATGTCGTCGACGCAGCTCTGCTGCTGGAATCATTAGTCAGGTATACATCTCTTCATCCAACCATGGCATTACTCATCACAAACAATTAGCACAACAAAAATAGCAAGTTGTCATTCATAATTTTTTGGTATATTATAAACCGTGTATTCCTCTCTCATACAGCACTTCTGCAGACGAGACTTCCTCGGCCACAAGCTGTGCAGCTGGACCATCTGGGAAGAGCAATATGGCGATATGTTTCGTGGCAATATTTCCTGTTTCGCCGGAGGGTCAGCCGCCATCCAAGAAGCAGCGCGTCGAATCAGGCTTTCCAGATGACCGCGGTTTTTACGATAAGTGGCGGATTACCCAGTATGCCCAGAGAGAGCGATATCTGCTGTGTGAGTCTCTGAATCCATCAATAGAGCATTGAGACTCATTAACTCAACACAAAAACCAGGTCATTCATTTACAGTGACTCACATGAGTAACGTTATTTCATTCTGTCTTTCAGCACATTTCACAGTCCGCAAGCCTTCAGCCGCAAAGGTGGCACAGCTTATTACACAGGAGGGGTGGAAGGTCAACTGTCCCAAGCCGGAGGACATCGAACGGCTGTGGACACCACCTTCGAAGGCAGCAGTTGAAGATGACAAGTTCATCCTTCGCTGTGTGTCTGAGCAGAACTGGTCGGGCATGGCCATAAAAGACTTTGGTGACGAGCGTGGTTTTGGTAAGAAAACCTTTCATTTGTCTTGTAAGGGCAGAAAAAAACAATAATGTAAAATGTACAATTTAGCAGCCAATAACTGCAGCAAGAACTACATTTACATTCTGAACTGTTTGTCTACATGTAATTGTCACCAGGTGACGAAGGGCGGAACCATGAACGCGGTGTTGTTTCCATGGGGAGCTAATTTAATGTAACACCCCGCCGGTTGCCCCATGAAAAACAGTTCGGCTGGATTCCGCAAAGGAGAAACGAGTGGCAGCTGTGAGATGGGCGGAGATTGAATCATCACGCGATGATCACGAGGGGGAGCTAATTTAATGTAACACCCCGCCGGTTGCCCCATGAAAAACAGTTCGGCTGGATTCCGCAAAGGAGAAACGAGTGGCAGCTGTGAGATGGGCGGAGATTGAATCATCACGCGATGATCACGAGGGGGATCATAAAAGCGGATGTTCGAGTGAAGAGGGCAAGCGGCAGGGGACGGAGGAATCCACGGCAGGGAAGGAGCCTGAAAACAGCAGTTCAACCCGGATGGAGAAGGAGAGACAGCAGTAACAGTAAAGTGCCATTGGAGATCCTCATTATCTGACTCCGGTCTCACACCGTATATAAACGACCAGTGAATTTGCCCTGGATCTTTGTGCATTCTGAGGTTGCCTATTGAGGTCTTCTGTTTGATATTGTGGTAACCTTTTTATGGCAGTGGTGTGTGCGTAGTATACTCTCCATACAGTGTGGACTCCATCGGCACGAGAGGAGGGAGCTGGCCGGGATCAAGAGTGGAGATCTTATTCACTGCGAGTGGTGTGAGTTGCAGTGCCTAGAGTGAAGTGACTAGTGTGGAGTGATCACATATGATTATTTGAAGTGATTGATGTTTGCACTGGGGTGAGGATTGTTGTGTCTGTTCGTGCCCCCAGCCGTCCTATTCCAGAATTAACCCCTTACTGTGAGCTGAGTATGCACTGTGCAGGATTGTGCCTCCAGTCCATCCAGTGTGAAGAGGAGTCGTGAGATGTTTATGCACTGCTGTTTGACTTCCCTGTCCTAAATAAGAACCAGCGCCTGTCCATTGAGTCTCTCATATTGAAAGCCTGAATCTGCCCACCAAGTCTTTCATGCTGAAGTCAGCCACCTGCTGTGAGTACGTACATACGATTGACTTGAAGACGACTTGTGAAATGTTTATGCATTGCTGTTTGACTTCCCTGTCCTAAATCAGAACAGCATTTTCTCTATATTCTGGCTGTCTGAAGAGGAACTGCCGTGCGAATTCCAGAATAGCATCTGCTCTATACTTACCCCTGGCTGTCCGAAGAGGAACTGCCGTGTGAATTCCAGAACAGCATCTGCTCTATACTTACCCCTGGCTGTGTGAAGAGGAACTGCCGTGTGAATTCCAGAACAGCATCTGCTCTATACTTACCCCTGGCTGTCTGAAGAGGAACTGCCGTGTGAATTCCAGAACAGCATCTGCTCTATACTTACCCCTGGCTGTCTGAAGAGGAACTGCCGTGTGAATTCCAGAACAGCATCTGCTCTATACTTACCACTGGCTGTCCGAAGAGGAACTGCCGTGTGAATTCCAGAACAACATCTGCTCTATACTTAACCCTGACTGTCTGAAGAGGAACTGCCGTGTGAATTCCAGAACAGCATCTGTTCTATACTTACCCCTGGCTGTCTGAGGAGGAGCTGTTGTGTGAATTCCAGATCAGCATCCGCTCTATACTTACCCCTAGCAGCCAAGAAGAAGAAACATCCAGGTTTAGTTTACGAAATTTTAATTCAATAAAATCCTTTTACATTTGATACCTTGTTTGTGGTCATGGTGTTTCTGGGTAACTCCTCGAGGTGGTACGCTCATAGGGGTGGTCTGCAACAGGGGGGGCCATCCCGACCTGTGACAGAATTAGCGTAGTCGGCAGGGTAACCACCTCGAGTTGAGCGACCAGAGACACCCGATGGCAGACGAAGAGTTGCCAGCGGCCCGGCCTCAAGTCACGCCCATTTTTATGGGAGCCCCATGGGCACGAAGGTATGGAGGATCAGGGTCAGAGCTGAGCTTGTCAGAGTGGAAAGCCCAAGTTGAATATCTGGCAAGAATCCAGGGGCTAAGTGCCTCCCAGACATTGCAGTTTGTCCTAAATTCACTTGAGGGAGAGGCTCGGAGGGAAGTACAGGCTGCACCAGAAGAGACTCGGGCTACGGCACAGGCGGTCTTCGATTTCTTGACTGGACAGTATGGCGATACTACTCCCGTGGCCGTCCTCCGGACTCAGTTCTTTAATTGTAAACAAGGACCCCGGCAAACCCTACGGGCCTATGCTCTGCAACTACGAGAACAGTATACCAGGCTGCCAGGCTGAAGGGGAGGCGCGACCATGGTCTGGGAGGGGAAGAGACCCTGTTGCGCAACCAATTCCTCCTGGGACTTAGGGAAGGCCCCATTCATTAGAGTTTACGGATACAGCTCCGCCGAAATCCCGAATTGACGTTCGAGGAGTTGCGGAGAGAGGCGCTGGCTTTGGAATTGGACCATGCGGAAGCGGTGGACCCCTCTGTTTGTATGGCTGTCAGTGGGGCCCGGGACTCAGTCTGGGCCATCCGATTGGAAGCAGACCTTTCGGGCTGAACTCATGAAAGACGTCCGGGAACAAATGACCGAGCTGTCCAAGACTCTTTTGGAGGAGCTCCGTCGAGACCGGCCAAGTCCATTGCCCTTGCCTCGAGAGCGTTCTTACTCCGACGGGAGTCGAGATAGAGGGAGACGTCTATCTCGGCCTGCGGGGCCTAGGTTCCAGTGGGATAACCAGGGTCATCCAATTTGCAATAACTGTGGAGAGCCTGGACACTACCGTCGCCAGTGTGGCACTCGCCGCAGCTCACAGGGGGGTTTTTAGAGTCACCAGCCACTGTGGGTCAAGTGGTCGGGACCCCTTTAAGTGACCCTTCTTTACCTGCTTCTCCTAGAGACCGGCTAGTCGGGCATTGCCCCCTTGTGGAGATCCAGGTGAATGGCATCAAGGTCCAGTGCCTGGTTGACACCGGGTCCCAAGTCACCCTATTCTCTGAAAGCCTGTCTAAAGAACTGTTCAGTGCTCCATGTCTACAGGAGGCAGAGGCCCCCTGGCTTACCTTACGAGGGGCAAACGGACTGGACATTCCGTACATCGGTTACCTGGTTACAGACCTGGAGATTCGTGGGGTCACTGTACAACAGAAGGGAGTTGTGGTCATCCGGGACCATTGTCTGGGTATGCATCGAGCCCTCCTCGGTATGAATGTAATTGCAGATTGTTGGGAGGAAGTGTTCCAGACTCGTCCTCTTCAGACTATTGCTCCAGCTGAAGAACGGTAATGGGAACGAATTGTCGCAGACTGTCGCTGGGTCCACGCCGCCAGTTCCCAGGGGGGTCGTGAGTGTACTGCACGGATTGCGTGTCGATATGCCCTGTCTATCCCGGCTCGGAGTGAGGCCGTTATATGGGCTCAGTTACCCGTCCAAGCATATGGGCCAGAAGAGTGGGTGCTTATTGAACCCCACTTGGACTGTCAGATCGTTGACGTGGCCCGAGGGCTGGCTGCGGCCAGGCGAGGCCGAGTCCCTGTGAAGGTACGGAATGAGAATCTCTACCCAGTCCACCTGTACCGCCAGCAGCGACTGGCCCGGGTTACTCCGGTGAGTCCCCAACAAGTGAGGGAAGGTGGGGGAGTGAGCTTTAGCCAAGTGAGTCCCACTGTAGTTGAGGTGGCCCTGGCACGAGTGAATCAGCTGGTGGAACTGTTAGGAGAGGATGCCGGCCCATCTTCTGGGGGAGTCCCTGCGAGGGGAAGGGCTGGAAGACAGTCAGACGCAACAACTCCAGGAGCTCTTGGCGAAGTGGGCACACGTATTTTCTACACATGATGAGGATTATGGCCGCACCGCCATCGTGAAACATCAGATCCCTACTGGTGATGCTGCACCAAGCCGGGAGCGGTACCGTACTGTGCCACCGACCCTCTATTCCGAGGTTCGTACCTTGTTGAAGGGGATGCTGGAGAAAGGGGTCATCTGGGAGAGCAGTAGCCCTTGGGCGGCTCCGATCGTCTTGGTGCGAAAGAAGACCGGAGCTTGGAGGTTCTGCGTGGATTACCGCCGACTGAACCAAGTCACCTCGAAGGATGCCTTTCCGCTACCGCGGATCGAGGACTCACTTACCAGCCTGACACAAGCCGCGTGGTATTCCACTTTAGATCTGGCCAGTGGATATTGGCAGGTACAGGTGGAGGAGGAAGACCGAGAAAAGACTGCATTTACTACCCCTTTTGGGCTCTTCGAGTGGGACCGGATGCCGTTTGGCCTTTGCAACGCTCCAGCTACCTTCCAAAGGCTGATGCAACGGTGTCTGGGTGGCCAGTTAGTGGATTCCACATTGGTATATCTAGATGATGTCATTGTTTACTCTCCTGACTTCGCATCCCATCTTCAGCACTTGGAACGAGTATTTCCGGCCATGGAGAAGTACGGACTGAAGTTGCAACCAGATAAATGCCAGCTATTTCGTAAAGAAGTGGAATTTCTGGGCCACTGTGTAAGTGCCTCTGGAGTCTCAGTGGACCCAGAAAAAGTGTCTGTTGTACAGGAGTGGGGTGTACCAAAGACAGTGCGACAAGTGAGGTCCTTCTTAGGTTTCGTGGGGTATTATCGGCGGTAC